ATGGTCTTTTTGGGCCACACCTCCAAGAGGCTCTCTTCCAGCTGCGGCTAGCGGCCAATGAGGTGGAGCAGGTTTGTCAGCTAGCATCATGGGGACGACAGCAACCTCGCCCTTCCCGACCAGATTGGCGACAGAGCTGCAGGTGCTGTTAGCCAAAACAGTGATCTCCGTGGTCCTGCCGGGACGGGAGCTCGAAGGTTTTTACTTACACTACTTCCTGGTTCCCAAGAGATTGGGCGAAATGAGACCCATCCTTGATCTGTCTCTTTTTAACAAATACATAATGGAGAGACCGTTTCATATGCTCACCACGAAACATGTGTTGGAGTGTGTGCGTCCCGGCGATTGGTTCATTTCTATCGATCTGAGAGACGCATATTTTCATGTGCCTATTATTCCCAAACACAAGAAATTCCTGCGATTCTCTTTTCAAGGTGCACATTTCCAGTACAACAGACTGCCCTTCGGCTATTCACTGGCCCCCCGCACCTTTTCGAAATGCATGGAAGCAGCATTAGAACCGCTACACAGAGCAGGAATCAGAGTCCTCTTTTATTTAGATGATCTGATTCTGATGGCGCACTCCAGACATCAAGCAGCTTATCACACAGTGATGCTTGTGCAGCACCTGGCACAACTGGGTTTTGCAATAAATTGGGAGAAGAGTTCACCGGTGCCCTCCCAGACGCTTACTTACCTGGGAGTGCACTTAGACTCTCTCAGTATGAAGGCAAGGCTGACATCCTCCAGGCAAGAAATGCTCTTATCTCTCCTGCACCGTGTTGTTCCCCACGCAAGAGTAACAGCTCTATCTGTCATGTGCTTACTGGGAACAATGTCAGCTAGCCATGTCCTAGTCCTTCTCGGTCTCCTTCATATGAGGAAGCTCCAGAGGTGGTTCGGCCGTCTGCGTCTCGACCCAGTGCGCACAGAAGGCGCAATTCAGTTCCTATTTTCTTCTGAAATTAGTGGTCATGTGACCTAGCTTGTCTGAGTTTCCATAGGACAGACATTGCACATGCTCAGTAGCTCACGTCTTTTGCTGATGCACCGGCCAGGTGGCGCAACCAGGTGAGCTAAAGAACCCAGAGGGCACAGGGATCCGATTTCAGAAACGACAGCGAGGGAGCGACATGGTGCGCTCAGACAACACAACAGCCGTTGCATACATAAACCGGCAAGGCAGTGTTCGCTCTGTCCGGCTGCTGGAAATTGCACAGGAACTCCTACTCTGAGCTCATCAAAACTTGCTCTCCATCAGAGCCGTGCACGTCCCGGCCAAGCAGAACTGCATCGCGGACCTCATGTCACAGGGAGGACCCCAGCCCAGCGAGTGGAGGCTGAATCCGGCCCTAGCTCAGATACTGTGGGACAGGTTCAGCCGAGCGGTGCGGTGGCAAAAGTTCAGCTGCCAAAAAACAAACTGTTAGAAGGAACAATTCAAACAACACATTGAAAGTGGAATGTGAAGCACCAAAGACCCTTTTGTGAAACACTTTGAAGTGGCAGGAAAGCTTAGAGCAAGGATATTATCCCAAAACATCTGAAAGAAAAGGAATCATTTTGGATCTGCTCCTTCAATTATAAGATAGATAGGTTGGTATTACCTGCATATGTGTTAGACTTTCTGAATGTTCACAAAAGAGAAGAGTGACAGAAGCTGTGAAAGAGGTTTCATTTTAATTTTACTGAAATAAGCACTGTTCTTAAATGTCCATTCAGACCTGGATTTTTTTTCTGTTTGTATTTTATGTTGTCCATTTTAAAAAAGACTATTTTGAAGCATTTCATGGCACATATTTGATGTTAACTGAGGTAAGTGTGGTTTGATGTTTTTAGACTGTTGAGTGTTGTGTTCAAGGGATAGTGTAAAGTGGGATTTCTTTG